TCAGTAGGTTGAGAAAGTATATGAACAGATACTACATTGTAATAGAGTCAGTAGCATTCAAAAACATAAAGAAAGAATCACTACTTAAAAAATAAATGAAATATATTAATATTAACCCCTAATAATATTAGTAGTATTAATATTTTTAGTAGTCCACTAATCCACTACTTAATTAATGTATACAAATTAATTAAGGTTATGAGTTATGTATGCAAATTATATGTAATGATTCTATATACCAAATAATAATGTTACTATTATTAGTAGTACTAATATTATTAATATTTTTAGTAGTCCACCAATCCACTACTTAATTAATGTATACAAATTGCTCGCATGGGCAGCTCCACTGGTTATAGGGGTGAAGTTTGGGAAGAATGATCAGGGATCGAGTCTCACCAGCGGCAGTGTGGGAGCAACCTCTCAAAGTGAGGGGGCGCTCTTTGTGCGCAGTAAGCAAAAATCGCCTCTGTAGGGTGGGAGCAACCTCTCAAAGTGAGGAGGGCTCTTTGTGCGCAGTAAGCAAAAGTCGCCTCTGTGGTTCAGTTGAGTTACCATGATTTATATCCTCCCAGATGCTCTGTCGGGTTGGGGTTCGAGATTCATCCTTTTGGGAAGAATTAATGTATACAAATTAATTAAGGTTATGAGTTATGTATGCAAATTATATGTAATGATTCTATATACCAAATTTAAGCTAGGTAATTTAATTTTGTTAAGTATTGTAATGTTATGTTGACTGATTTCAAATTTCAAACTAATTTTTTTTTTTTTTTTTTTTTGTCTACAATGAATGGAAAATTGATACTTTTATTTTAACTAGTATTTGCGTCCGTGCGTTGTACGGAATGAATTTGTTATAATATTTTAAAAATATTTAGATCGATATACAATTGTCTAAATTATAACATCGAATATTATATAATATAATTGAAGAATTGAGTTGCACCAATTATGTTTTCTGATGTTATCAAAGATTGAATTTGAGTAAATAATTACCCAATTAATAGCTAACGTGTAGATATACGCATACGATGCTGCAACTTTAGAGATTTTATATATAAGTGTTTAGAATTTGTATTAATTGGGCTAATTAGCTTGTTGTCTAGCAACTCAGTTATAGAAATTATAAGTAAAATGCAGAAGAAACAAGAAACATAACTTTGTTTTAAATGACAATTAAGGCAGGCTGCAAAAATAGAGAATATTATCTAACAATTGAGTTAATACCCAAAAATCGTCTTCGACTATAGTTGTTTTTCTCAATTTTGTCCTAAACGACTTTGGTGACTTAATGTAGTCCCAGAGTTTTGTGTTTTTACTCAATTTCGTCCCAGACTTTTGTGTTTTTGCTCAATTTAGTCCCCCATTTGTTATTCCGTCCATTTGTTGTTAAATAAATAGACAATTCAGTAATTTTAATATTGGCATCTCTTTATTCATAGACATGTGAAGTGCGAAATCCCTCTTTTTTTACGAATTACTCCCAGAATCACTTCTAAAGCTGCGAATATAAAATTTGATTCGTAGGTCTGAGAGTAACTCTGGGTGTAATTCGTGTAAGAAAGGGAGATTTCTCACTTCGCAGGTTGAAAGTAAAGAGAGGTCAATATTGATATTATTGAATTGTCCCTTTATTTAACACCAATTTGACGGAATAACAAACGGAGGACTAAATTGAGCGAAACACAAAAGTCTGGGACTATATTAGGTCACCAAAGTCGTTTAGGACGAAATTGAGAAAAACCACTATAGTCGAGGACAATTTTGGGTATTAACTCTCTAACAATTAGTTGCACTTATGTTGAAAACTAAATGTAAAAATACATCAAAATTGTTGCAGAATACCTATTAACTGACAGAATATGCACATAACTTTAGGTGCACAATATTAGAGGATTACTTGCAAACATAGATTAAAATATTTGCACGAATAGAAATTTCGAGTGCAGTAAACACAGATGTATGCATATAGCTTAAAATATTATTGTTTGTTACCATGCAAAGTGATCAGTTCGTTTACATGTTGCATAGGATTTTGGATATGCAAAAATAGTGTATTTTTTTCACTATTTTGTCGAAGATACTTACACATTGTAGCATTATAGCAAAAATTATAAGTAAAATGCAGAAGAAACAAGAAACATAACTTTGTTTTAAATGACAATTAAGGCAGACTGCAAAAATAGAGAATATTATCTAACAATTAGTTGCATTTATGTTGAAAACTAAATGTAAAAATACATCAAAATTGTTGCAGAATACCTATTAACTGACAGAATATGCACATAACTTTAGGTGCACAATATTAGAGGCTTACTTGCAAATATAGATTAAAATACTTGCACAAATAGAAATTTCAAGTGCAGTAAACACAGATGCATGCATATAGTTTAAAATATTATTGTTTGTTATCATGCAAAGTGATCAGTTGGGTTACATGTTGCTTAGGGGTTTGGATATGCAAAAATAGTGTATTATTTTTGCTATTTTGTCGAAGATACTTACACATTGTAGCATTATAGCAAAAATTATAAGTAAAATGCAGAAGAAACAAGAATCATAACTTTGTTTTACCTCGTTTAGTTGTTGTTTCTTTTGCACGAACCACTGGGCTTTGTCCTTTGTCCATATTCTTGAGTGAAATCGAACAAACTTCAGTCTTTGTAGCAAATGATTGTGTTTTTTGAGAGTTTTTTTTAGTGTCTTTTCGCTTTCTTCGTTGTTGTCGATGGAGGTTTTTGGGAGGAAGAAGATGGGTTCTACCTTTTGAACTTAAAGTTTGTCGATAAAGCCATTCGCGTGTTGGGATTGTCGATATTTTTGTTTTATAATTACAGTTTTGCCACTGCGTCATAAGGAAGAGCTGAGTCGTTAATTTTAGATGATAGATGGCTGTGATCTATTCGTATATTCGCGCCTGGGGTTATATTCGCAGGTGATTCCATCCCTCTATATATATATATATATATATATATATATATATATATATATATATATATATATATATGGTGGGTCGAGTGGAGTTTTCGACAAATTTTATACATAGAATTCGAATCCAATCCAATTTATGCAAATGAGTTTGGGTGGATATTTACGAGACGGATTGAAATTGTCATTCCTACCCTACCCTGCATCCACATGGCTTGATTACCTTTTATAGTGTAGTCTAATCTTGTTAGATATGCAGTTGAATGAATTGAAAAAGCATTGTGAAGCGCGAACCACCCACGTTAAATTCATCTATCAGACAGGATTGGTAGGTTCTCCCTACAAGGCAAGGCAAGGCAAAGCCACAAACACTACAATGATTAAAAAAGACATCTCACAAATGTCCGAATTACACACACTACTTTCTTCGCCTATTCATCTCTGTCCCTATTCAAAACTTTCTTACTTTTTTCCAACTAACCCATTTCTCATTTCTCCCTCCAAAACAACACCACTTATTACTTGACATTACTATAGGCCATGCGTGTTGATCCATTGATTGATTGATTTTTTTTTTCATTTTCTTTTATTTAAGGTTATGAAAACTCCATATAAGTAAATGATTTTCTGTTTTGCCAGATCTCTATGCCAGGTGAAAAATTCAACTCTTGTAAAAAGTGGTATGGACGCATCTCGTGCCAACTCCAAATTAGTTTCATAATGGTGAGAATCCTGAATGCATATTCACAACAACAATGGGAAAATAAAAATAAAAATATGTTCATTTGTATATTTCTTGGATTTGAAAACAGAACAGAGAAGAGAAAACTAAAACGTTAAAAGAAATGTATCTTTAGTATTCAATAATTGTTACGCAATAATACACAACTTGTGCTTTTTAAATATTAGTTTGGTTTTGTGAATCTATCTAATGTAGCAAAAGAAAGAATAGGCATCACCATCACATGTTTTTTGAACTCTCCAATTCAATCATTGAGTTAACTAACCTTCAGCTCTAAATAGCCCTTTTGCCCAGGTTACTACATACTACTACCCATTATTATCTCTGCAAACTAGTGTCAGCAAACCCCCAAAGAATTGAAAATGAATAATGGGTATTCCAGAATCAGATCAAAATCCATAGATTTTGCAGATCCTTCTCAAACTGCAAAGCAACTCCCTCAAGAACCTAAAAGCCCCTCCAAAACCCATAGTTCAACTCAAGAGCAAGAGGGTTGGGAGATCTTTGGAGTGATCTTGGAAAGAAGCCGTTCTGTATCTTCTGCATTGCCTAGCAGGCACAAGAAGCCTGAGAAACAAAGGGCACTGCTATTGCACAGTGGTGCTATAAAGAGGACATTTTCCATGAGATCATCCTCAGTGTCTGGAGGGTATTATTGCAGGATTCATCATCAGTCTGCAGATTGCATATTTGAAGAGGACGATGAAAATGCGGCGAATCTGCAGAGAAGATCAGTGAAGAGAAGAGGAAACATCCTTAAAACTTGCATGCGCCTACTTGGACTTTAGAGCATGAGTGAGTGAGTTCCTAGGTATCTCATGTTTCCCCAATATGTTTTAATAGTGTTGCAAAAATCCCTCATAAACACTAGGCATTAGCCGGTCGTCTAGTGTATTACCATAATGGGTGATTTAGGTGACTGATTAAGTCGCCTAAGTGCTGATTGCCTAAGCTTGATAGGCGTCGATTAGACCGCTTAAGCATCGACTAAGTTGCCTAGTGGCCGATTAGCTATTGTTCTTTTTTTTTAAATGGGTCATTTTAGAATGTGGTTTTGAGTGAAATGACCCATTTAAAAAAAAAAAAGAACAATAGCTAATCGGCCACTAGGCAACTTATGTTTTTAGGTTAATATTTAATATTTTAATATTAACTATTAAAGTATTAAATAATTTATAATTATCTAGTTTTAAATAATTAAAAAATTTAAATAAATTTTTAAAAAATAAAAAATACACGACCGCCTAAGCGCCTCAATCACCCTGGCCCTAGGCTCCTCCGAGTGCTTAGCAATTTTTTCAACTATAATTTTAATTGACAATCCTTGTTTCCATAATAGAAATTTCCTTGCATTAACTAAACAAATGCTTACATTAAACTGTATTTCATTGGAAAATCATTAACCTATTCATGTACAATCCCCCTCCATGTCTCATCTGGAAAAAAAGTTTCATCCCCAAACTCCAAACTAGGTAACCTATACATACATATTATACAGAAGACCCTTGTTGATCTCATCCATCACTTGCTTTCACTAAAATCTGCATCAATGACTTCTCCATCTCCATCTCCATCGGTTTTACCCGATGAACTCGACTCCCCCCCTGGCTTAACATCATCTGGTGTAGGTGTTCCGGCGCCCGGTTGGCTGTAGAGAGACTGGCCTAGTTGCATCACTTCTTGGTTCAGTGCTGCCATGGCGTCTTTTATCGTTTGGGTTGAACCGCCAGAAATGGCATCCTGCAGCTCTTTCAGCTTAGCCTCCACCTTGCTTTTAACATCAGAAGGGACCTTGTCTCCCAACTCCTTCAACTGTTTTTCGGTCTGGTAGACAACAGATTCTGCCTGGTTCTTGGTGTCAATGGCCTCCCTTTTCTCCTTGTCCTCTTTAGCAAACTTCTCTGCTTCTTCAACCATTCTTTCCACCTGAAAGTTTTTGGTTAAAGAAAATGGAATCAATGATTGGAGTGACACGGATTGTATAAGGATTAAATGCCTACAAATATATTGATTGTATCCCATCACCAGTAATAAAAGAATACTTTCACTCCTGTGGACGTAGACACATTGCCAAATTACGTAAATTGAAGACACTTCTATATATTGTTTTATTGATAGATATGACACAATTCAAGTAAACACGCACCTCGTCTTTGGGTAAGGTGCTTGCACCGGTTATTGTAATGTCCTGTTTCTTTCCAGTTCCTTTATCCACAGCAGTGACGGAGAGGATGCCATTAGCATCGATGTCGAATTTCACTTCAATCTGTGGAACGCCACGGGGAGCTGGTGGAATCCCATCGAGGCGGAAGCTTCCCAGGGATTTGTTGTCTTTGACAAACTCTCTTTCGCCTTGCAGCACATTAATTTCGACACTGGTTTGCCCATCTGCTGCAGTTGAGAAAACCTCAGACTTGGATGTAGGCAGAGTGGTATTCCTCGGGATGATTTTCGTCATAACGCCACCCAAAGTCTCCAGGCCAAGCGATAAAGGAGTCACATCCAACAGCACAATATCACTTACATCTCCAGCCAAAACACCCGCCTGAAGTTTCATGTGAACAATAGATGCAAAACAAAAAGAATGAATGTTATAAATGCTAAATCTAGCTTTAAACACAGCCAAATAAATAACACACTGCATAGTGTTAAGAGTCCCACATTGATAAAATAAGAGAGAACATGTGTTAGACTAGCTAATTGGTTGGATTCAATCTTTTAGTGTGGTTTGGCTAACCTGTACAGCAGCTCCAAGAGCAACAACTTCATCGGGATTCACTGTAACATTAGGTTCTTTACTGGTCAATTTCCGGACAAGGTCTTGTACGGCAGGGATTCGTGTAGATCCACCAACAAGAATCACTTCATCAAGGTCATTAAACGATAGCTTTGCATCTCTTAGGGCAGTTTCAACAGGCGTTTTCAGCCTAAAAACGAGATTCCAATCTTAGTCATTTATCAAGAAACCACCAAACTGAATTTCATAAGCTATAATCTAAACAAGAACTGAACTTATTAAGTTTCGATTTGAACAAAAAATGACTCACTCCATCATACCTGTCTAATAAATCTGAACATAATTCTTCAAACTTTGCCCGTGTAAGTGTGGTTTCAATATGTTTTGGACCATCCGTAGTGGCAGTTATAAATGGTAAACTGTAAAACAAACACAACTTCAGCATTAATCTTATTATTGTTTTGACAGAGAACATTTACTTAACGAAAAAACGGAATATTGTATGTACCTAATATTGGTTTGTGTGAGAGAAGATAGTTCTATCTTAGCCTTCTCGGCAGTTTCAGTGAGGCGTTGCAGAGCTTGTTTGTCTCTTAGAAGATCTATTCCTTCTTGTTTCCTGAAGTCATCAGCAAGCCAATCTACAATCCTCTGTTTGGTATCCATCCAGGCATAAATCAATAATATTCAGAAACTCGGTCGAAATTAAACCAAAAACCCCAAAACATGAACATACCAGACAAAATACTCGTAAATGTAGATAGATAAAAACTCGTTGTACCTTGTCAAAATCGTCACCACCCAAATGCGTATCACCTGAGGTAGAAAGCACCTCGAATACTCCATCACCGACCTCAAGAACTGCATATAAGAAATTGAGTTACAAAGTGATCTTTCAAACAAGCTCAAAAGAATTCATAGCATTATATTATGAAGAAATAAGTATGCAACTATACACATATGAGATAGCACACTGAGAAGGCAGGCAGGCAGGCATACCTGACACATCGAAGGTACCACCTCCCAGGTCAAAAACTAGAATTGTTTCGTTATTTTTTTTTTCGAATCCATAAGCCAATGAAGCAGCAGTAGGTTCGTTTATGATGCGTAGCACCTCTAGTCCAGCGATGCGACCAGCATCTTTTGTTGCAGTTCTCTGGGAGTCATTGAAGTATGCTGGCACTGTAATCACTGCTTTAGTCACCTTATCATTCAAAAACTTTGAGGCATCATCAACAAGTTTTCTCAAAACCTGTAATCAAGAAAATGATGAAAAGCCTTTTAAGGATACCATTAATTTCATAAGCAGCTACTCAGCTAAAAACGACAATTTTAGTATGGAGTATGGTCCATGTAAAAGTGAATCAGATATACCATTAATTTCATTTTCACACAAAATCAGAAATAATAATACTATAAAGCTAGGACTTAAAATGGGGATTCAATTTTCTAAGCATACTATTTGTATGCATGGTTTACCTGAGCAGAGATTTCTTCAGGGGCGAATTGCTTTCCAATGGCGGGGCATTCAAGCTTCACATTCCCATTATCATCTTTCACCACTCTGTACGACACCTGCTTCGACTCTTCATCAACCTCCGACATCTTCCGACCAACGAACCTCTTCACCGAGAAGAACGTGTTCTCCGGGTTCACCACAGCCTGCCGCTTCGCAATCTGCCCGACGAGGCGGTCGCCGCTCTTAGTATACGCCACCACCGACGGCGTCGTCCGCTGCCCTTCCGCGTTCGTCACGATCGTCGGCTTCCCTCCCTCCATCGCCGCCACAGCCGAGTTGGTCGTCCCCAAGTCCACGCCCACCACCTTCTCGTTCACCACCCTCACCGCCCTGTGATTATTATTGTAACATCTCTTCGTCGGCGACGCGAAACGGATCCTCTGCCCGAAAACTGAAGTCTTGTGAGTGATTTTGCGGTGGGAAAAGGGGAGTTGCACGTGAGTCGCGGCTGATGACGACGCCATTATTATCGCTTTCGAATTCTTTGAATTTCTCCAAAATGTTCTTGGGAATCTCTTTTGAAACTTGGGTTGATCGGAGCGAGGTGGGGAGGTTTATAGAGGGAGGGAAAACGGAGAGTTCTAGAAGAGTGTAGAGACGTCGGATGAGAGTGGGATTTAAGGTTTAAGTGATTTGTGTTCGTTGGATGAGGATTATGAAATGGTGACAAAAGGGAGAGGGCCCTTCTCATACCAGAAGGCTTGAGGAAGGACGAGTAGGTTCTGGTACAGAAGGGACAAGTGGCGCCAAAATTACACTCTCATTCATGGTTATCAAAATTCTCTAATTTCTAAGGCTTGCTCGGCGGATAATCTTTAATTTACCCGTTATAAAAAAATTCTTACTCTCAGGACTTGCTGTTAGAATAATCTACGATCTACCAGTTAAGAACCAAATGAAGTGTTCCATATGAACAGGATTGATGATTATCTTACTTATATTTTGATTAGTTAATAAAATTATATTTTATTAATTATAGAAAACCGAATCAAATAATATATAGAGTAAATATTCAAAATGGTCCCTCGACTATAGATAAATTCACAAATTGGTCCTCGGCTTTCAATTTCAACCAATTAAGTCCTTAACTTTGTAATTTTGATACGATTTGGTCCTCCATCTATTTGACTATTTGTTGACTGTGATTTTTGAGGATATATATGTAATTTCATGGTCCACCGTCAGTTTTTTTAAGGTTTCGGTTGCATTTTCAGACCGCACTATTACATTTGAATCCACTGTCGAAAGCAATCTACCAAATCCGGTCGTCTTTCTTCATCCTCCCTTTAGATTCAATGTAGTTGAGTTCGTACCGGAGCGAAGAAGACGGCGTGTTTCCGAACCAGTTCAACATCATCTTGGAGGCCTCCACGTGCTCTAACGAGAGCTGAAGGTTCTTCTGGAGACCATCGATCACAGTCAACAAACGGTCAAATAGATAGAAGACCAAATCATGTCAAAATTGCAAAGTTAAGGACTTAATTGGTTGAAATTGAAAGTCGATGACCATTTTGTGAATTTAGCTATAGTCAAGGGACCATTTTGGGTATTTATCCTAATATATAATATATAAGAATGAGAAAGAGTAGAACCCACAAAAAAGAGAGAAAAGGAGAGAAAAGTTGGAGAAAAAAGAGAAATTCTACCTGTACTCTTAAATTATACTCTCATTTTGCACTCTCTATGACATGGCATCCTTAATTGCTTAATTTAGTAGGGGGTCATGATGTTTATTCATTTTCTTTTTCTTCCTCTAATCAAATTTGAACACAAGTGGGAGTATGGTTTTAAAAGTACATCTAGTATTTTTGGAAAAAAAAAATATGAGAGATTAAAAGGAGAAAAAAAGAATTGCGCCCACAAAATGAAGAGATAAGGGGAGAACTATTGAGATAGTTATGTTATGGAACCGTGTTCACCATACGCATGGTGAATACGGGATAGATCTATAATTTCTAAGCTGTAGATTCATAATTTTTATATTGTAGATTCATAACATTTATACTGTAAATTCATAATTTCTAGAGAAAAAATGACACTTTTTCCTCTTGAGTTATATACTTATAGCACATTTTCTCCCTGAATTATTCAAGTGGTTGTTTTTCTCCTAAAATGTTAAATGGACATATTTACCCTTAAAATAAATATTTCATTTATTTTTTTTTTCAACAAATTATAACCACAATTTGGTTCAAACCAAACAGACACTATACCAACCAAACTGAAATATTCTAATTACAATTTAGAATCGAAACATGATATTTGGAGTTTATTAAAATCACGAACCGGGACGGCAGGTTCATGTTCCGAACTAAAAAAAAAAAAATAAAAATAAAATACATTTATTGTTGAATTTATACTATTTTTAAATAAAAAATAAAATTTTAAAATAAAGGCAGTTCAAAATTGCGAACCGGATCTGGAACCGTCGATTCACAGTTCAGGATCCAGTTTCTTCGATTCATAATTTTAATAAATTGAAATCCAAATATTGGGTTCTGGATTTGAATCATAATCGAAAACTTTTAATTCGATTGCTATAGTGTCCGGTTCAATTCGAATCGAACCGTGGTCATCCCTACGTATACGCAATAATTTGTTGGAGAAGAAAAATAAATAAAATATTTATTTTAATGGTAGAAATGTCAATTTAATATATCAGGGAAAAATCACCACTTTTAAAATAATTGAGGGGGCTAATGTGCTTACATTAATAATTTAGGAGAAAAAGTGCTATAAGTATATAACTCAGGGGAAAAATGTGTCATTTTTTTATTTCTAGATTCATAATTTCTGTACTGTAGATTCATAATATCTGTACTGCGAAGACGAAATAATGCGATTGCGAAGAGAGAAACGTCGTTAACACCAAATGAAAAAATAAAATTATAAATCTACAGCATAGAAATTATGGATCTACCCATGTGTTTACCATATGCATGATGAACACGTTTCCACAGCATAATTTCTGGAACTATTATGAATGCCCTACAATTAGGAGTGAGCATTGATCGATTTTCGATTAATAAGCAAAATTTTAACCAACCAACCTTCATGTCAGTTTCAGTTGGTTAAATATAATCAGATTTTTTTTAGTAAAATAGCTAAATTATTTTATTTATTTGACTAATGCTAAAAGACTAAATTATTAAAGGAAAAAATATACTCCCTATTCCCTAATATCTTAGTATTTAGGAATAAGGGTTAAATAGGCCACTAAACTGCACACCAAAGTGCAATTAGACCATCAAACTCAAAAACAACGCAATTAGGTTCCTGAACAACACAAAATCATACAATTAGGTCTAAAATGACATGTTGACCTAAAATTGTGCTGATGTGGCGGTTACCAACTTTAAAAATTAATTTTAAATAAAATAATTAATTAAAATTAAAAAAAAAAAAAAAAACACTAAAACTAAAACTAGATCTGCCGGAGACGATACTGCCGGAGACTAATCGTCTCCGACATATCTAGTTTTTTTTTTTAATTGTAATTAATTATTTTATTTAAAATATATTTAAAAATTATTTTTAAAATTGGTAACCGGCATTTCAGGTAAACAGGTCATTTTGGACCTAATTGCATGATTTTATGTTGTTCCAGGACCCAATTGCATTGTTTTTGAGTTCGGTGGCCTAATTGCACTTTGGTGTGCAGTTCAGTGGCCTATTTGACCATTCTTCCTAGTATTTATAATAAATTAAAATTAATGTCTTCAAGTACAATAGTAGTTCGAAATATAAATAAACTATATTTATACATTATATTTTTTTTAATGATACTGACTCTATTATAATGTAGTATATGTTCATACATATTTTTTCAAAAGTCAATGACTCTATTACAATGTAGTATCTATTTATACATATTTTCTCAATAGTCAATGTCCCTATGCTGGAATATCACAACTATATTTATACATTATATAGTTAACAAATACCATACAATTTAATAAATAATTAAAATTAATGTGATAAACTATAAACTTACAAAATATAAATAGAATGAGGTAAGATTTTATTTTATTTTTTCTTTAGATTAATTTTTAATTTTTTAATCGATTTTTAATTTTCTCTTGAAAAACTGAAACCAACCAAAATATTCACTACATTTTTTTTTTTACTTTAATAACTGAAATCTGAAACACTCAGTGGTCGATTTTTCAATAGGTCCAATTCTTTTCTCACCCGTACCTTACAATGAAAATTAAAGTTAGCACTTAAACTAAAGAAGAATAGCGTCTTATTTATTTTATGGATAATACTTAATAAACGTACATCATAACATCAAGCATCATATATATTTACATTTCACAAACAGGCAATCCACATCCTGAAAAGCACAAAGATACTCCTGAAAAGGAAGGATTATCTTAACCCTCTTTGTTGTGAGCACCTGCAGAGCCTCCTCCACAAGGTTTCTCTATTAAACATTCTGGATTCGATTCCCGGCATTTTTCAAACAAATGGTCCATATCAGTAAAGCTAAAATCAACACGTTGAAAAATACACTCCTGCAAGCAGGTGTCGTTCCAAGACGAACAAGTTTGATGATGCGCAAATGCCTCGGAAATCAATAAGCAGAAAAGAAGAAATTGAGCCAACATTGCGGCGTGCTTGTTAGCCATCCTTGGCAACTTCGTTCCTAATGTCAAATGGAGCAATTAAACATGGCATAGCTATCCCCGTTCAGAGAGAGATTTATATAATAATTATGTGTATCAAACAGAAAGGGAAGTTTATGATGATATGCATTGAACAGAAACCATATAACACATCATTTAATGCTAAGGCCGGCTTTTTGTGATTGATTAGTAACATCTTTGAGAATTAATATCACCTGTACTCCATATAATAACAACATTAAATGCAAGGTAAGTTTTTTATGTGATTAACATTAATTAACAATAATAAGGACAAACAAAGTATTCTTCTCCCTAAAGGTTTAGTCCCCAACCCCAACTCCCCAAGGGCCCACCACACCCCGGCCCGACAGAGTATTTGGAAGGATGTAAATCACGGTGATTCAATGGCACAACAGACAGGGCCAAATGCCGGTGCTATGCACAAAGGGTCTGCCTACTTTGGGCATAATCCCCACATTGCCACCGCGGAGGTTTGAACCTTGGTCTCTTCTCCCAAATACTGCCTACTGAACTAAGCCCATGCGGACACAAACAAAGTATTCAACATTTAACAATGTTGTGTAACAAAAAAGGTATTGGACAAGAATCTCGTACTCGTATTAGAAAAGCACTCAGGTAGTTGGAAAATAAAAAAGGAAATACCACAAGTGTTTTAAAAATCCATTTATCTGAAAGTATTAGTAGATTTTGAATTTTGTATTCAGTTACCTATTCTTCTTTTGTGCGCACCGCTGCTGATGAATTCTCGGTTTCACCTTGCTTGTCCTGCCTTACACTCGCCTTGGCATCTGCAAGGAATTTAGGATCTGGGGCGTGCTTATCCGAGGGCTCTCTCATTGCCATACAAATGTAAAATACTATAACTACATTGACAGAAATGACAGCAAGAAACCCGCTCAATAGTGTCATGGAGTAAGGAGAGAAGTCACTCAAA